GCTCCATCAGGATTGTAAAGTCCACTTCTGAAATTTGGAACTTCCAGCTTCCTCCCATAACAAGGGGATTTTTTTAAATATAGCCACACCACACAGTTTCAGGTGACATATGTTGTAGATTATATGCACATATTGCAGTTACTACACTGAAACAGACCAATGGTCAGTCTGCTGTAGAATCACAGAAACTGGAAACAGTAAAGAGCTGCTAGACCATCTGCCTATCAGTGCAGAATTGTTCCCTATTGTGCTTTGTCCAGGCCAGTTTTAAATGCCCCCAAAAATGGGGGCGGGAGGAGGCTTCCATCACTCTCCATGGCAATGTCTTTGACTGTGGGCAGTGTCCTATGTTAGTTCAGAGAAAGGTGTTTAAAAACGCTGCAGTACTAGGGTGGTTTTCACTTTGTTTTGGTACTCACAGCAGAGAGGAGAATCAGGATTGAGTTGATTTTATAAATCCGACCCAAACCTCCCCTTTTTGCAGATCTTTGTTTTCTGCATGGAAAGAGACACCCACTCCTCTTTCCCCTTAGCAGCCCTAGGGAATGAATGTACCAGTCACTTGCTATCACACCTCCTTGCTGAACAAGCCGAAATGTTACTGGGATGAGTTTTAATTCTGTGATGTGTTTCTCGGGCTGTACAAGAGGGAAGGAGGGAGGACAGTCCTCACAATCAGATGGTAAAGAGGGGACAGGCAGATGGATAGGATCAAAGAGCAATTGACTCAAACCTTGGTCCATCCCTCGAACCAGAACTTATTAACATTTAGGGAACATTGTGTTCCCTTTTTTTTCCTCCTCCCCCATTTCCATGGGCCTCTGCATTTTCTGGTTCCCACTAGTGAAATATCAGTGCTGAGATAAGAGTTTCAACATTAGGGATGGGCCTGAACTAGCATCCCAATTCTGAACACCTATGAACGTGGTAGCAGTTTACCATCTGGATCCAAAATTTCCATATGCCCTACCTGGGCTGATCTAAAATGCCAGATCCAAACATCCCTGAATTTTAAGGTGTTTGAAATCCTAGTCCCTAATTTTGCAGTCTATTTCTGTCCGGGGCCACATAGTCATGAAATATTGGGAGTTCTACATGAAAACTGTTAAATAAACAGTGATTTCAAAGAAAAGCTTTGGGAGGTTGCCTTAATTGTCAGGGTTTTCTTCCCTGATCTAGCCCAGTAGCTGGTATACATTGTGGCAGTAATAGTAGTGGAGACTTTCAGTTTTGGCTTTCAACAAGCATTGTTGCACTATTAATTAGTGGGAGGCTGCTGCGGCTCTAATGGGCTCTCAAGACGAGATAAACATCGGCTGTGTTTAATCTTCTTTTTATTCAATCTTAGCTGGATTTTGTTAAGCAAAGGCAGGAAACAATAGAATCAGAAACATTTAATATTCCAGTCGGGCTTTTCCCTTCCATAGATCAGGCCTCACCTAGAAACCCTTCTCTCCCTAACTTCTGCCCTTCTGTGGGCTGTTTGGTTTGGAGGTGTTCTGGAAGGGACAGATTTCCCTAGAGAGAGCGACACCTTTTTTCTACCCAGCTTGTACCCCTTGTCTTCCCCTTAGGCCTACATTTCAGTGATCTTCCTTGAACAGAGGATGGGTTATCATTGCTCCTATATCAGCCGGCAGGATCTCTGCTGCTGGGCCATGTGAACTGCTCTTTCCCCACGGCTGAGCAGCCTACATAGTACCATTGCATTGCTGTGAGCCCAGGGAATGAGCGATCAACCTTCGAATCAGACCCAGATGTGTTAGTGTGGGAGCACTTTATTCCCACCAGGGTCACCAATCTCTCCCTTCTCATCCCCTCCCTCCACTACCCAGTATGTGCATTGTGAAATAATCATGCCATGTCTGCATCAAAGTCTTTCATGTCAAATGGTTTCTCCTCCACCAGTGTGTTTTAGAAATGGAGTTTTTGCCCTGTGCTGTTACTGTTTCCTTTCATCATAAATATTGATAACCCAGTGAGGGATTAAATCACGGTTGATGGTTTTTATTTTAGAGGATGGTTTTGGGGTTGTTTTTTTTTACTGTTGCTATGGTAACTCCAGAGCATTTGCTTTAGTGCTTCCAATTTTTTTGTCAAGAAATCTTCTTTTCTCTTGCTTTCTGTGGTTGCTGCTTTTCTTTCTAAAATGTTTTCTTGTTGAACAGTTAGGCAGGTTTCTGCTACAGGGAGAATGCAAGCATCACATGTTGTCATTGAGCGGATTCTCCTCTTAATATCATTTTGCCTTTACTGCTTTCCATCCCAAAGGACCCCAGAAGCACAGACTGTCTGTACCTGCCAAGAACCACCTGCAGAGCCAGACGCTTCTCTGCAGGAATAGAAACAGTCTTTGGCACCAAAATCCGAGGCCTCTACCACATGGGCTAAAGGAGAGCTTGTTCAGTTGGGAGTTGTAAGTCTGGGGCAGCCAGTAGAGAGCGAGGTTATTGTAAATACTAAGCTGATGAAATATACCCCACTTCTAAAATGCAGCCACCTCTGAAGAGGACAGCAGCCAGCTCACAGCAAGGAGTTGGAAAGGAAAGTCCTGGACAAGCCTCTGCTCTTACAAATCAGTCTACAGGATATTTTAACACCTATGCAGAGCAGACAGGATCTGTGGTTTTAACGTCTCCACTCCTTCCAAACATGAAACTTGCTCCAGAGCTAGAAACCATTTTATCTCAGCTAAGGCTGCTAGCAGTGGATAATATGGGGTTATGAAAGTGGTAGGGAAACCAGATGTCCTTCTAATGTCTGTATTCCACTTTAAATGGCTCAATCCCAGACTGCAGCGGCATTTGTGTGTTTTGTCAGAGCTTTGTCCCTGAAGCAGTTGTGCGAAGGGTAAGGGAATGGCTATGAAATTATTACTCATCAGTGCACCCTACTTCTGAGGTTTCTCTGATGTGGTTTGGTTTTGGAGGAGCTTGAAATTTGGCTTTTGTGAACGGTGGTTTGTCTTTGAGTAAGTTAATGTAGCAATTACGTCTTGCTGCACTAGCCGAGGAGACTGATTTGTAATGGAATTAATGATATACTTGTAAATATGTTCTGATTTCCCGTTGCTCTGTTTCTTCTGAGCAGGAATCTCCTCCCCTGCTTTATTACTAGCAATTGGATATCTAAAAAATTTAATAAACTTTCATCCCAAAGGACTAGACACATGGTCTATAGGGCAATCATTTCACTCCCTACTAACATGCAGTCACCTCTGGAGTGGGTTACAGCAGCTGCTTAATAGCGCACAATAAAACTTCAGGGTAGAATTGAAGAAAACAATATCCAGTTGAAATTACCAGAGGATTATAGAGCACAGAACTGGAATTTGGGCAGCAATGCTCATGTTCTCTTCTTGAAGCCAGAGGTTCTTTTAACCATTAGCCGTCAGGGCCTCCTGTTTTTAAATTGGGACTGGTTGAAAATTTTCAGTTGGAACTGGGTCTTCTTATGGAAAACTGAATCTTTGGCTACATTTAAATTTTTTGCAAAAAGTTTCTTCTTTCCGTGGAAAATTTTTTTTTTAAATCAAAAAACCAGATGCCTGAAAATCACAATATTCCAATTCAGATATGCTGCCATAGTGCCTCGTGGGAGTTGAAGTTCAGTTGCTTCGTGGGACCATTCTCCTCCAAAGCCAGACTTCATCTCCCATGAGCAGGGCCGGCTCTATGTATTTTGCCACCCCAAGCACGGCAGTCAGGCAGCCTTCGGCGGCATGCCTGCGGGGGGGACGCCAGACCCGCGGGTTCGGCGGGCAATCGGGGGGCGGGGGGG